ATACCCCGATTTCCCTTTACTTTCAGCTCGGACTGTAGCTGTATTGACTGGTGTATCTGATTAATACATTAATATGCACTACATTTTCATTGTTTCACTATTTATTTCGGTTGATGTTTTGATGTTTTGATGTTTTGCTGGGAGAGTCATGGAGGGTCCTGTCGTTCAAATATCACTGCATCATTTTTGCGCGCACGCCGTTACATGCTTGCCACACACGAATTGTCGACGATCCTTGTCGAGTAAGCTTCGAGTTGCGACTGTGGCCACTTTGGACTGTGCCCCCTGTTTACGACTGCGGCACTGGGCCAGAGAGCGAGCGCCGGCCGAAGACGGCCACGAAGAGAGTGAGCCAACACGTGAGAGAGGGCCCTGGACAGGACTTGCCCCGACTCGACTCTCGCCAGGCGGCGTCTTCGGCTGCGATTGAAGGTTCCATGTAAATTGTGGAAAAGCAACAATTTCCGCCCCCTCAACTGAGCCAGTGTGCGTGCAGGTGTGTGCCTGTGTGCCACAGAAACTACATATTAATGTCCATGCATATGTATGCACTTTCACGACTCTCACGAGGAGATGGGATGGCCCATAAAGCTCTCCTGTCTCCTGTCAGTCGAAAGGGGAAGCACAAATTAGACAGATAGTAAAAGGAAGGAAGAAATTATAGAAAATTACCTGCGAAGGATTTATACAGACACCAAGGGACCAGGGCGAGGGGTTATTTATTATAAAATTATTTCCTTCACGGTCTCCCATGCGGAAGCTTTACATAAGCCCCCATAAATCCCAACCAGCCCACGTGTAGGGACTTGGAGAACAAAATCCAAGAAACAACCACAGCCGCATTGAATTAGAAAATACAGAACAAATTGGGTCAAGTGGCCGCATTGGAATTGAACCTACAACCATTTTTTAACCACACTCTGTTTGCTCGCACACCCCCCATCACCCCACACCCCACACCCCACACCCACTGCCCCTCCCACAGCGGGCAGGACAGAACAGAATGTAAAGGATTCGGAAATGGTTAACCACAAAAAAGAGCCAAACACTACAGAAAAACTACAGAAGGAGCAACAGAGAGAGAGAGAGAGAGAAGAGAATGGGGTCCGTTTTGGTGGTGTACCCCGAAAACCCCAGTACAAGGTAATCCACTCGGCTCCTCTGGCAGCACGGCAGACTAATGCTTTTGGTCAGCAAAAGTCAGGTGCACGAACACAAGTCGTTCCCTGTGTGGCAGTGGGGATTGGGAATGGGACTGGGCATGTGGGAACACGTATACGTACAATATACAACATTCAGGGGTTTTTTTATTTGGCTTTTATTATGGCTTGAGTATCAGAGTAATTTGTTATATCAAAGTCGTACTCACACTCGGTTGGGGTGTTCCGGGCTTCTCTTTCGATGTGCATTCGACAGAATTTTGTTTGCTTATAAAAAAGAGTGGCTCTACTTTCATACTCGGTTTTCAGTACCCTCTACAATACATTTTATACGTAAATATTTCGCTCACCTCCTCTAGGGGGAACACTGAACGAGAAAGAGTGTGGGCCACTGAGAGAGAATGAGTAAGCGCGAGTATCCGTCCTGAACTGCCCTGAACTGATTCCAAAGTATTCGAGCATATTGGATATACAAACGACTCTATCAATTGAGAGCGGTATATTTTTAAATTCTTTCGGTTGAAACAATGGAGATTTTGTTGGTGAAACTCGGAACACAACATCCTGTTTTTGGGCGAAACGTATTGTTGGCTCCTACAGGCTGACGTGTGTTGTTACCCATGACTAGACGCGCGACAGATGGCAAACGAGGCCATCAAAAGACCCGTAATGACTTAAACAATGCACAACAACTTGACCGAGAGTGGAGTCGGAGACCTTCCTGAGTACTCAAATAATGGCACATATGGGCTACTTCAAATTGTCTCTAGGCAACTATTTTGCCACCCATTTATAATTTATACATTATAAATTCTCTGAGCTCTGAAAGGTGTTACTGTCTTGATTTAGGTAGCCTTTACCTCAGCTAAGGGGAGATCTGGACTCGGATGGAGTAAGCTAAACGAGTCCTGAGTCATGGACTCCTTGGCCAAGGCAAGATATAGATCTCTGTTGGGTTTGAGTGTGCTTAACTTTTTGTTTGGTGTTAAATTTTTGTCATTTTCAGTTTGCGTACATATGTACACAACATTTGTTTTACAACAGAAGCGAGGGGGGCAGGGGCTGGGAGAGGGAAAAACGAGAGCATGTGTGTGGAAATTTGTTGGATTTCCATGACAAAGCTGGACTCCCATGCGGCCGCCGAGCTATTTTTAGGTTATAACAAAGTGTTTTGCTGGTCAGGACACGCGACACCAGGACATGGTAATGGCAACGGTAACAGTAATGCCAATGCTAGCGCTGACGGTAACGGCATTTCGGTTATGCAAATGCAAACAATGCATTGCCCCCGAGAGTCGATGCCAGCATATGCGCTCCCATACAGCACGCCAAGAAAAATAAAGGTACGAAGGAGGGAAAGCCCCAAAGAACTGAGAACTGGCTGAATGGGGCGACATATGCGCTGTATAAATAAAAAATCAATCGAAAAGAAATGTAAATATGTAAAGAACTGTCCCAGTCGTAGTCACATGTCCCTACCCAGTCCTAGTTCCAGTCCAACTCCCCCTCCCAGTCCCAGTCCCCCGGCCCATATGCATGCCAAATGAGCCAACAAGAACATCGCTGAAACAACAACAGCGACTAACATGTGGGCTTTATAAAAAATTCAAAATTTTAATCGAAACATAGTGCAAGCGGAGCGGAAAATAGAAAAATAGAAAATAGAACAGAGCGCCGTGTTCGGGAGAATGAGCGATGCGACCCAGCAGATAAGGAAAGTGCATATATGTAAGTATGTATGTACCCCAGTATGTGTGTGTGCCTGTGTGCATTTGACACGGCAAAGCGAAAGCCAATTGCCTGTCAGTACTGGTCGGACTGGTCAAAGCGTGCACTTCGACCCCCCCCCTCCCCTGCCGCCCACAAACTGCACCTGTCCTGTACACTGAGAACATACGAATGTTAATTAAGAATTTAAGATCATTAAAATAAAATCTATTTCGGGCGAATACCCTTTTTTCAATATCCCACATTACCAGCGAAAGAGTAAACACAAACCTCAGGGTAGCCCAAAGTGGTCCTACAAGAGTTATCCCCTGTAATGGTGGAGTTGTCCCTTAAGAGAGCAATATTCTCAACCACCTCTCTGCTTAAAAATTGTACTGTTGGGGTTGGAGACTCAGAACTAATCCAATAAGTACTCAGTTTCATTAGTTGGAGCCTCAGAATCAATAAATGCTTAGTTTCATTCGGGATCTCCTCCTGAGATCCCTATCCCTCTACTCCTATCCTATCCTAAAGGCAGCTACAACATAAGAACATTAACCCCCACGGTCGCAGTACAAGACCCTACAACAATATTTTTTGACTAGATATTCACCCACTTGGGATCGGGTAAGCGCTGGCTACGATTGAACTGTCTTATCGAATTGTTGCGGGTGTGGATAAGGATCCTCACCAAATTATATCCTCTATTAGACAATACATAGACAGTCAAGAGCTTGAGATTTAAAAAAAAATAAATTCGGAAACTGATTTCTAGGTCTGGATTTCTTCCCAGTGTTTCCGTGCCCTCCTTCAACGGTCGATTGCACAAATCGTAACGTGATAACTGTTTTCCGAAGTGCGGTGTATAGTACACTGTTTACGGTTAGTTTTTTATTTCGTATTACCTTCTGCTGATGACTTTCTCCCTCTCTCTCCCTTTATTATTTGTAGGCAATAACTTGAATTCTGTTTCTGTCTTCTCGGGCATCTCCTGACAGACATGCTACTATTAGCTATATTTTGGTTTAGGATATGTTAAGAAATTAGATATTGACAGACAAGTTCATAATGTTGCAAAAGTAATAAGAACATGTGTGATATGTTCGAACTGAAAACTTGATTGGGGAGCAAGGGTTGCCACAATAATCTGATCTGTGGGTCCATTAAATGTATGCATTAACATTTCTATGTACATATGGTACCAAAAGCACTCAAAAGATATGTTAATACACATCGACACAGAAAACCCAGCTCACAAAAAATGTAGAGAATAAATACAACCAGCCCAACCATCTTTTACGTACAAATTTTGTTCTTGTCGCATTTGATTAAATGCTCAACATTTATTTTTACATTAAAATTTTACTTTTTAATTAAAGTCCAAGTCTTAAATTATATTGATTTTCTTAAAGCATGGCTACGACAAATACTATGCAATAGTAATTTTGTACTTGGCACTAGACAACAAAAATTAGGTTGTAGCCCTGGATGAAAAGATCACGTCGCCACATGTAGAATTTGTAATATACCCCCAAAATCTTTTTATTAAATAAAGAAACCGAGGTTTGGCACCCGGCAATTGCAGCACCGATATCCACAAAAATTTTTGATTTGTAAACAGAACTTGGTACGACACTTTGGCAGGCTTTTTAATTTTTGTCGATAGAGTTATTACTCTATCTACCTGAAGACATGGCGACCCAAGGTAGAAGTTTATGGATGATAAGTTTTTAGTGGTAATAACTCTCAACAAAATTAGCAACTAATCATTAAAATTGTCCAAAGAATGTGCCCGCCTTTCATCATACACAAGCACGCTTGCTTAATTGACATGTAATTCCAATGTTCTATTGCTAGATATGTATATTATCTAATGGAGATCCCCGTGTTTACTTCCAATCTCGCTAAAATCTAAAAATTCCAATGATGATACTGTGAAAGCTCTCAAAATCGATCATAGGTGTTGTCAGACTGTTCAAACCGTAATCGATGATGATTGCGGAGCTTTTTGTGCAAAGAGACTATAAACAAGACGAAAGGAGGAGGGAGGGAGCGAGAGGAGAAGATTAGAATGCTCTAAGCTTGAGATTTACTGAGCGGAGAGTTCTTATCGCCGCTTGTAACATTTTACAGTTCGGTTCGGTCTACAGGTTAGTTTCTAGATATGTTCCGCGCTTTGGGCGAGTGCTGACCGATAAATCGTCGAGAAATCGTGCCAAATTGCAAATAACTTTGCAAAGTTACATGTTTACATCTTGTCAGAGTGCCAGTGTCAGTGCCAGTGTCGATGGCAGGTGCAGTCGGTGGGCATCGTATTCGTAATTAGTATTTCCCCTGCTCGGCTCACCTGTGGATTGTGTCTTCCCTCATCGTCGATTAGTTTTTGTGTGTGTTTTGGGTAGAAAAGAAATTAGAAAATGGTTTGCAAGTCGTGGACGCTGCCGCATCGGTCAGCAGTCCCTCCTGCGTCCCACAGGCTCTTGGGATCGGTTCGCCTCACGTACGCCGTGTGCGCCTTCCTGTCGATCTGCCTCCATTCTGCCATGCGCAGCATGCTTGCCATGGTCATACTACGTATGGTCAAGCCGCGACCCGAGGACAGCCTTCTGATGGCCCTGGAGCTGGAGCGCAGCAACTCGACTGGTCCGGGGCAGTGCGGAGGCCCTGTCTTTGGCCCGGCCTCGGGGATCCAGGTGACACAGGCAAGTCCGATGCGTTTTTTTGTTGGGTGCACAGAAATCTGATCCAGCGTTTGCAGCAGACGGGCGACCTGCCCTGGACACGCAACCAGGAGCTTACCTTTCCCGGCGTCTACTACTACGGCTACGTCATCTCGATCCCCCTGGCCGGACACCTGTCGGATCGGCTCAGCAGCAAGCGGCTGTTCATCCTGTCGCTGGTCTTCGAGGCTTCGGCATACTGCCTCCTCCCAACGATGGCGCATCACAGCTATGGCGCCGCGGTAGCCGGCTTGGTGGTCTCCGGCATGTGTGCGGTGAGATGAGTCCAGCAGGTGGACATTGGATATAACCTTCGCTTTGTGTTCGCAGGGATGCGGCAATCCGCCGCTGTACCAGCTGTTCGTGACCTGGGCACATCCCACGGAGCGGACGTCGCTGCTCTCGTTCGCCTACATCGGCCTTCTCATGGGCTCTATTGTGGTCTATCCGGTGGCCAACTACCTCAGCGACTTTGCGTGGGAGCTATCCTTCTATGTGGTTGGAAGTGTGACGCTGGTCTTCGGCATATCCTGTCACTGGCTCATCTACGACACACTGGACCAGCATCCACGCATCTCGAATGCGGAGAAGGCGTACATACAACGGGAGCCGTTGTCCACGAGTCAAGTAGGTGACTAAAATAGATCCACTGATAACTTTCTCTTTATTTTCCACAATTTGGCAGTTAAATGTTCCTTGGAGACATCTGCTTACCTCGCTTCCTGTGTATGCCTTCATCCTGACGCACGTCTTCCACAACTACACCTTCCTCGTACTGTCCGTCGTGATGCCGCGCTTCATGCGCGAGGCCATGCAATTCACCACCCATGATGTCGGGGTTCTGTCGGCGGCTCCGTATCTGGGCGGTATGTTCTCGAAGCTGATATGCGTCTTTAGCTGCGGCTACGTGGAGCGGCGCGTGGGTCTCAATCAGAGCTGGATGCGTCGACTACTGTATGTCGCCTGTAAGGGTATGCCTATCCAATTCTTTAGATGTTGGATTCATGTCTCCGTTTCCTTTCCAGGTAGCATTTTAACGATGGTTTTTATTGGCATTATTATTGGGGCCGGCTGCGAGCAGAAGACACTAGTCATGCTGATGTACGCGTTCCTTTACGCCACCACAGACATGGGTTTCAGTGCCGGCTACTGGCCCACACTGTTGTACTTCGCGCCTTCCTTTGCCGGTCTTCTATCCGGACTGGCCAACTGTTTGGCCCACCTGTCTGGATTTCTGGCGCCCCATCTCGTGGCCGCTCTGGTGCATACTGTAAGCATGAACTGGTGTATTTTCAAGCTAAACCTTTTATCAATATCGTATTATGCAGGGCACCAAGGCCGAGTGGAATATTGTGCTGCTGACACTGATCCTTTTCAATGGCATGGCCATGTTTGTGTTTGGGCTGTTCAGCAGTACGAGGCTGCAGTCTTGGGATCCACGCAGACACGCGGAGTCTTTAAGTGCTAATCAAGACAACGTTCATTAGAAATTAAGAATTAAACCTATTTTATTTTGTGTTCTTTGTGCTTTTAAATGCGCGCCCATTGGATGTGCACCTCTGTAATATCGAATAAAGTAGATTCTAGTGTTTTCTAATGTTTTATACTCTTTGCATTTCTCGTTATATGTTTGATATCGGATTCAAAACAAAAATAATCTTAACGAGAAATGCAAATTAATATCCCTTCTTATAAACATTGTCGTATCGCCTCTTAAATACATGTATACATAGTTAAAAAGGTGGCATTCCAAAAAATAATATTTTAACTACGTTTAAAGTTTCATAGAGAAAGCTAGCATTTGAATATTATAATTTTTGGTTCCAAATACTATACCCTATATAATCATTAATCTAACTATAATCCCAAGATGTTGCATAAGAGACCAAAGCACACCTACTCGCCCATAGGTGTGCAGAGCCAGGACTACATCAGCTTGATTTCGTGTCGTTTTTTACATTTGGAAAAAAACGCAATTTACAATATTCATGCTTAAAGCAATTATTGTTTTAAATCAAATAATAATTAAATAATAAATAATCTTTTAGAAAAAAAGCGAGAATGAACAGCATCGAAATATTTTATTTATCAACTTCTCGAAGATCCCAATGTAAGCCACAGAAGCATACAAATGGAATTAAAGCACGATTTCAACTTAATAGTTTACTTTCTTTTTAAGTTTAAAAAGTGTTTAATGCATATATTGAATGCATAGTAGTATCAGCATCTGTGGTGCGAAAGAAATTGCTCTATCAACTGAACAATTAATAAGAATTGTCTTGGATTTTTTTCTTTCTTGTACTTTCTTAGAAATTATCTCTGTATGAACCAAGTCCAGTTGGATGAACCCGGCCGTCGTAAGTATTTTTAGAAAGCGGCGATAATTGCCACAACCCATGGAAATGTTTTCAATCTACGACTGCTATATAAGCTTTCGAGCACTATCGGAAAATTGCAGTTTAATTTTAAACATTGCAAGATGCAGTCCTATGTGATTATAGCCCTGGCCGTGATGGTGAGAGCTTTTACTCTGGGAAATAAACAAGAATCAGCTTCTATTAAATCGATCCACAGAGCCTGGCTAATGCCGCACCCAGTGATCCGGACAGTTACGCACCAACTGAGGCTGTTAGTGTTCCATTGCCGGATTCGGACAAGAATCATTTATGCAAATTTCACGAGTATCTCAATGGAGTTAGGATGGGACTTTTTGAGGTTATCATGGGCATCAACATGGACTTTATGTCTAAGGCAGAAACAAATTTCCCAAACGAATTTATTAACTTTTTAACGAATCGCCGCCGCGAAAAGAACGCAACTCTGAGCTTATGGCAAAGGAATTTCGGCGTCGACAAGGACCAGATAAAGATGATCCTGCAGAACAAGACTGTGGCTCAGGAGTGGGCAAAGGATCATGTGTTCGAGTCCCACTACCTTGAGATGCATTTGTCCTTGTTCAATGCACTGCGTTCCCTTAAGGAGCGTATGGTCGAAGAGGCAACCCGATTGAAGAGCAGCCTGAGCAGTGCAACTGTGGCTAGAGAGCATGAACTCTTCGATGACGTCAATCAATTTGAAAATTCGAGGAGAAACGGGGTTAATCCCATAACCGATTTAATAGACAATCTTGAATCGAAGATCGAAAATAATTATGAATGTTCTACATAATCTACATAATCTGAAAAAATAATAAGACTTGTCTACTCCTCAGACCATTTGTTTTGTTAAGGGCTGCAAGATACTAATATAAAAACTTGACATAATATTTATTAAACGTACCACTCCCAGTGGGGTTTCTGATATCTCCATTTTGTATTGTTTCTATTTCACTGCTTCTTAAAATTCATTGCATTAGAAAACTATAGGGCTCGACTATCTGTGATATCAGTTTTTTTATCTCACCAGCAGGATAAATATTTACGTTATATTTTATACCTTTATACATACATATATATTTTGACGTCGAAATTGAGTTTAAGGTATATTTACGATATATCGGTACACACGATTTTTACCGTTGCGTCCAACATCTAATTTGTATGGACAGTTTCCTTCAACTCTTATCAGAAGATGAACTTCTGCATACCCTGGAGAAAAGGATATTATAGAATTGTGAAAATTGTCATACCAGGCTACTGGAAAGTAATCATATCATAATCATATAAATAGGTATAAAACATGTCAATCTGAGAAAAAGTCATTAGTAATATTTCAAATCAGCTTGAAAACAGAATTTTTTAAATAATTAAAAGAAAGAGGGTATAAATGTGTCTATACTCATAGTTGCCGGTTTACCAGCAACGTATATACCAGGCGCACTTACGTTTCATTACGTGCATACTTACGTTTTCTGCTTTAATATATTGTTGAAGTTTTTAGCTTAAACCTAATTTTAGACATAAGGCAGTAAAAGGAAAGTACCAGAAATGAAGCAATCTTGTAGAAAATTGATTCATCAATCGGATAAAATTATGAGCTTAGAGCTAAGCATTCCAGCTAGCTATTAATTTCCAACCGAATATCAAAAACGAGAAATATGAGGAACTTAAACACAAATAATTCGTCAGTATATTTCCTGTATATTTTGAAATTTGTGACTGATATTTCGGTATATTTCTGAGGGCCAGACCGTATATTTCATCCGTCCGCGGTCACACTGCCCACCTTGCTTTATAAATCATTGTAAGTTTTTTAATTTTCAAATTTTGTTTTGCTACGCTTACGAACGTGTTGTGTTCCCGCACAGCACTCACTGGAATACGTTTCGCAATAGATGTATCAAAATTTTCGTGTGAATTCTATCTCGATGCTACAATAAATTGAGCTTTCCCCTTTACAACGCAAAATTCTCAGTGAAAGATCAACACAAGCAACAAGGCGCCGTGACACCTACATATTTTGTTTGGCAATTAAGCGCTCCTTCAGCATTTACAAGTGAGTAGTACGACATGCGAAAAAGTTGGCCGTCAGCAGGATCAAAAAAGCAGAGCCAGTAGTTTCTGATGAACATCGGTGTTTTTGTGCGCAGTGGAGAGGGGGAAAAGAAAGGCGGAAATCAGAATTCAGACGCTCGCTTCCTGATTATATTCGCCTGCTTGCTGCCTGTGTCAGCACTTCCGCGACACTGGGCTGTCGTTTACTCTAAACTGCTTCTTGACAAATCAATAAACGGCCAAGAGTCCAAAGCATCTCCTACTAAGCTGAAACGGGGGGACGACTCTTGATAGATAGCCTACAGTGTGTACGTGAGAGTGCGTGTAAGGCAGCTTTTTTCATTTCGGCGCAATTACAAAAACCGAAATATATTAATTCTTCTGTCGAATATTTAAACACTTGCTACCTTGAGCGCTTCGTGTTGTGTTATTATCATTGTTGCTGTTGGCCCGGGTTGAGGGAGGTTCATTCAATCACATACGCAAGCACATGCATACACATACATATGTTTATATGGGTACTTATATGGATAGCACTGTATACTCAAGTGCCTGTATCCATACATATGTATGCGTGACGGTTTACCACCTTTGTGTTTTATGCATAACATTGGCTGTGCAAATACATTTTAATTTTCACAATTTTATTTAAAATATACCCAGCCGCAACAAGCTGAATTCTACAATAGCGAGAGTGTGTGTGTGCGTGTGAGCGAGCACGTACACAAAGAAAGTCTGGCTAGTGTTGCCTGCTAAAGATTTAAGAGAAAATGCTAGATATAGCTAGAAACCAAAAACGACCAGAACCGATTAAACGATGGGACATTATCTATAACTGGTCAAAGTACCGTTACAAAGATGACCCACAAAAAGAAGAAAATAAATTATGAAACCCAATTAATAAATATGAATTCAATTAACTACTAAATGGTTGACAGTTAAACCAATCTAAATTTGGCGGTAAAAGAGCTAAACGGCCTTAGCTGTCTCACGCACACATCGGCACGTACACACGAAAAGACAAACAAACAACCCCCCCTCCAACGAATATTCGTAGTCGATGACGAACGCCGCTGACCTGACTTATTGCGTTTTTGCATAAATTCATACTTTAAATTTGCACAACCGACAAATTGTATAAACAACTGATAACAATAACGGCTCTTCTATACACCATAAAATGTTTAATGCGTTTGGCGACTGGATGTGATAATGCCTGATATCCTTATCAGTACCTGATAATTTTGTCTCTTTTGCTCTCGTACTTTGAGCTGAATCAATTTGTTTTTGAAACTTTGTATGTACATATGTATTCGAACAAAACAAAATAAAAATAAATGTATAGAAATATCTCACATTGGACGAGTTTCGGTTTGTTTATTCCCTGGAAAGTGCGACCGGTTCTCGAAAACACAACAGCTGGCCTGGTCCGGCGTCTTGCCGGTAGAATATGGACATACTTAGATAATAGAAGCTAAACCCGCCTCGCCATTATACGCTTGGCTAATGAGATTAAATTGATTAATAATACCTATCTCCCCTTACAGGAATCATCATGTTGTTGAAGGTACCATCTGTGGACTGGTCGGAGCAAATCATTTATGTGATAGACGACGACGAGTCCCTGTCGGATTTCGACGATGAGCCAGATTTCTCCGAGTATATGTGGATGGAGAATGAGGAGGAGTTCGACAAGAACGTAAGCAGCACAAAGGATTATAAGTAAAAGTAATTAACGTCTTTTTTACGTTTTGATAGGAACTCCAACGACTAGAGGAGGAGGAAATCATGCAGGAATGTATCGAGGCTATGATGGAGGACGAGCTGGAAGAGCAACTCAACGAGTGGGAAAAGGCAAAGTGAGTTGAGGCCATCTGGTCAGATCGAGCATATGCTCTAATCTTTATCTGTTGCCCTGTAGAACGGAGGAGCAGAACACGGCACTTTCCGCCCTGCCTAAAAGTCAGTGCAATGTGGAAAAGTCGGTTTTGAATCCCATGGCCGATGAATTTGTACCGCGTAGTCATATATTGGACTTGCCCGCCTCGTAAAGTCAGCCAGCCAGCCCGACCACCACCAGACTCGCAAACCCACTCCCATAACACGTGGACCTCACCTGACAGGCGCTCCAGTTAGCGCTCCAGTCGACACGCAAAAATCCTAAGAAAAATTTTTAAATCCTTTGCAAAAACTCGAACTACCATTAGTCCATGCCCCGAACTGCTGCAATAGCAGGATTCAAAGGAACTTGGCCATTACCCAACAGATACGCATAGCCGTAGACAAATAGATGGTTCTGACCGAATCCAAGTGCTGGCGACCGAAATGCAAAAGAATAACATTTCTGAAATCAATTATAAAATTAACAAAAAGCCACTAAAAAAAAAAAAAAAAAATACAAAACGTTAAAAGAGAAACATACAAAAAAAGACCTAAAACACCAACAAACACAGCATGTAACGACTAACAACTATGCCACGTACATCATCGTACATCGTAATTAGAGTTAAACACGAACTGTTTGCGCAGGAATACGGAGCCGGAGCCGGAGTGGAGCTCTCGCTCTGCAGACACTGGCGGTTTGATGGTGAAGCTGAAGCTAGCGAAACTTTGGTATCAACGTACAAAACGAAAACAAATGACTTTTTACACGCGACAATTGTGTGTTGCAACATTTCTACCGACTTAAAAACGAAACCAACTACGACTACCATTAAAACAACTACATAACTGCGCCAATTTCCAGCTAAAGAAAATGTAAGCAAAAACCAAGACTCGACCCGATTGTGTTAGACACAAACAGAATTTACAACCCGAACCGTCATGCCGTTTAAACGAAATTCTATGCAAAGACTTTAATTTTAGTTAATATTTTATTTAATTTACGACACACGACTTCCCGACACTTTCTACACTTATTTTAAGTTGAAAATTTGTGTATAACTTTTGCTTTTATTTTTTTTTAATAATCTGTGTCCCGTCCCCATTCCACCCATTGTTAACTCGTTGTACGTTCTACCTAAGTTACCAAAATCGCTTGTCCACGCACCCCATCTGACTCTCGCTGTACTTGTAAATTACGACTATAATTTAGTGACTAAAACGAATCGAGAATTGAGATACTAATGTTAAAAGCCTCTTTATACAACTTACATGCATAGATATACATAAAATACATAGTGTTAATCGAATGAAAAGAAACGAAACGGGAACGATGCAGAACAATAGTTTGGCGAATTTTAGGTCAAAAATATTGTTCAGCACGTTTGCCCCACAGAGCAAATGCACAAAATATGTAAAACAGATTGTTTTTAATGTCGTTAAATTCCGTTTTGGCATGTAGAGAATGATGGATAATTACTATTTTTTCAATCAGCTTAGACCTAGAAATTAAGACAGCATCAAAAGATCTACTACATTACTTACGTTACGTGTGATATAAAGATACAAAAAAAAGCCCAAACAAAAAAATATCAAAAATGATTTTAAAAATCTCAATAAAAAGAAGTATTATAGCATAAAAATTGAAGAGTTCTTTTATGTTTATTATGTATGTTCATGAAATGCGAATAGGGACTTGATCTAGTGTTTTGCTAAATATACGATTTTGGTTCGTACTTTATATAGTACGAAATATGTGTCTGTATACTTTTTATTAAATATAATTCCTATCAGGGTTTGAAACTCGCGCCAAGTAATTTGACCTACAGCTGATTTGTGCTAGTGCTGCCAGACCCTCTGCCCTCTAAAATGTCTTATATAACTATCGATTCAATTATCGATATATTAAGAAATTATCGGCGCGGATTGAGCAACATTCTTCATACCCTGGGGAAGAGGACATTATGGAATTGAGGAAATTTAAGAGGTATTTCAACAATATTTTGAAGACAACAAGAATTGGGCAGGGCTGAGGATTCTTTCCAGCTAGAAATATTACACGAAATATTAAAATCGAGGAATATGGTTGCCAATCCTCAACGGAGAACGATTAACCTATTGTAGACCAAGATTTTAATATACCACCGAAAATAATGAACAGTCGTTGAACTGTATAAATAAATATCATCACATTAGCCTTGAGTCAGTTCAAACTTTTGGAAAAAATGGCATACATTTTTGTTTTGTGTATCTCGTCAGTCTGAAATCAGGAGCAGTAGAGTGAACATTGTTTAATTTTTAGTTTTGTGTTTTTGGATTCCAGTAAAAAAAAGTAAAAAAATTTGTAAAAAACAAAAAAACGTTTTGAAAAATAATTAAAATTTTTTTTTTTGTAATTTAAGGTTCATATATCGGACTTTGTAGACTGCGCTGCGTCGGCTGTGGGTCCTGTGGCCCTTGCGGACCCTGCGGCGGCCCCTGTTGCAGTCCCTGCTGTGGACCATCCTGCTGAGCCCATGTTCGTCGAATCTAAAAAGGTTAACTAAATGTTAATTTATAAATATTTGTTCTGTCTTATTTGACTTATTCCCTCCCATTTTATTAGGTACTGTACCTTTCTGTTCTGCTGATGCCAGCCAGTCATTTTTGTCGGACCAGCGACGACTAGCTCTTCTCCTGCTTTTTGTGGATAAATCCTTGGCGATGGCAGCCCTTCTTGATGGCAGTTTTGTGCTTGCTCTTGTTTGCTCTTACGGTATTTCCATCATCTTCAGGAGATTTTTTATTGATGCCATCCATCATGGAGCCTTTTTGTAATGTCACGTTGTTTCACGTAGAAACTACGACATTAAAAAAGTCTCTAAAATGGATGGCATCAAAAAAAAAAATCACCGGAAGATGTTGGATATGCCGTTAAAGCAAACAAAAGCAAGCGCAATACTTTCATCAAAAAGGAATGTCATCGCCAAAGATATCTGCAAAGGAAGCAGGAGAAGAGCTACTGCCGGAGGCGCGACGCGAGTCCTCCGAGGCCGAGGAGACGGCGGCCGACGACTTGATGCGTGGTGGCTCCACGACCGGATTGAGCCTACAGTAAGGTCGTTGCGATCTGCACGCTTTCAAGTGGAGACTTTCGAGGCTGCTTTGCTACGTGCCTTCTCCGACGCTTTTCTTTGACCACCTCCTCGGTGATTTGCAGAAACTGGATGCCGGCTGTCAACAAAGGGTTCATTATCTGGCAGTGTCACAATGAAAATCTGCGACAGGAAACTTATGAAGCTACATACAATATTTCTAGTTTGACAGAATACTCAAAACCTACAGGAGCTGCTGTACATTTAAGAAAGGGTATAGAAATCCAATAAAAGCAAGTGTTTAAAATAAACCAGTCAAGTAGAAAATTGATTCATTAATCGGGTAAAATTATGTGGGCATGGCTAAATGTTCTATATAGCGAGTATTATTCGATGGAAGATCGAAAACAAGGAATATGTAAAATAGAACTTGACTTCGTCAGTATTTTTACGGTATATTTTTTAAATGAGACGGTATATTTTGGTATTTTGGACGGTATATTTTATCGAAAAGTCCGCGGTCACACTGCAAACATGGCGTCGATTTTTTGTTGATTTTTTGTTGTTGTATGCAGAAATTTTGCTGAAATTGTGTGAAATGTGAGATTGATTAAAGTGATAGGCCCAAAGCATGCAAATTGAGGACCCGATCCGCATTTCCAGCATTGTAGCCATCGCATCGAGAGCAAAGCTGCCACGGGACTGGCCCTGGGGATATGGCTGCGGCGGCTGCAGCACCTGCGAACTCAAACGCACCTGCACCTCCGTCGGGCGTTAGCTCTGGCGCAACGGGAGTCGGGGCCATAAGCGGCGCCCAGTTTCGCGAAATACACAAGAATACGTGGTTGAAAAGACTGACGACCGATGGAAAGAAACTAACCGTCGGACCCAAGGTAGGTCGCTGAGCGGAGCCCCTCCTCAATCATTGAGACACGAATTAATTACTGAATGACCTTGCTTTTGCAGAAATCAGAGTGCAGCTGGGTGGTGTTCTGCGTGCACGATGACACGGAGGCCCTGCTGGAGGGCTATGCAGAGCCGCGCCAGGCAGCCGGCCACATGCCAGAGTGGGCGGTGTCATTGCGGGAGACGCTGCACATATCGCACGCCCTGATCCCCAATTCGCACGAGTTTGAATTTGTTGTAACGCTTAGCAATGAAGTGTTGCGCTTTCATGCCGTGTCATGGTAAGCTGGCCATGCCGCACGCACGCAGGCACAGACGGGGAAATAATTGCTTTTCTGTTGCCCAAACACAATTCACTTTCGGTTTCGTTTCGTTCACAGGGAAATTATGCAAGAATGGGTGGAAACGCTGCGTTCGAAGTTGCGCGAAATGAAAATTCTGTCGCCGCGCGAAAACCTCTACACAAAGTTACCTGAAGTTCGCGCCCCCTTGCTGCCCACACGGGATCCCACATCGCCGCTGCCGCCGCCACCCCCAGTGCCGGCGGCCCTAGTGCCGGGAGTGGAGCGTGTCGTGGCTGCTCATCAACCGCACCCGCAGACGCAGCATCATCTGCCAGCAAGTGAACAGGCAGCCCCAAGTAATGCTTCCACTCCGGTTCCAACTGTGGCTGCAGTACCACCAGCCACAGCCATGTCCAACACATTGACCCAGCATCTGCTCAACATGCTCTCCGATCCCATTAGCACCTACAGCGAGCAAATAAGCGAGACCGCGACGGCTTCAGTGCCCCCCAATAGACCCGAGGACGAGGAGCAGGCCACCGACGAGCCCCAGCAATTGAACTCTGCCAGTGATGCGGACGTGAACCTCTCTGATGATGAATTCCTGTCGCCTCTTCTCCGAAGGGCCTGCGTTCTGACGGACAATGGCGTGCGGGTCGATGTTGTGGCAGCCACAGCGCAGCGTGCCTCCGCGGGTAAGAAAAGACACGGACCCATATAAAACATATAACAAATATAAATGTTTTTGCAAATTGCAGATCAAATCTTAAATCTGGAACATATGCTGCAATGTGAACGCCTAATACCCAGGTAAAATACCCAGCACTCTCCCTTTTTACAAAATCTCCGACATCTGCTGGCAGCTCCGCTTCAAGAACTTGAGGACAGCCTCCTTTGTGCTGTCGTTGCCCATGTACTTCCAGACGAAGTGCTTGCGGAGCACCTCCAGGTACCTCAGGGCGGACTGGGCCAGCTCTTTTTCCTGGGCGACGAGTTTTCCCTCCATAATCTTTCCATAATGCTCGATGAAGTCGGCGACAACATTGTCGTATTTTAAGCTCACTTCCTGCACCACCAGGTCGCGCTGTTTTTGCTTATAGCCATTGATGGAGTCACGCAATAGCGTATCGAACATCGTGTCAAGCTTCTCCACTTGCGCCAAATCTTTCTCGTCCTGACCCAACGGACTGAACAGGGTCTTAAAGAATTGGCTCTTCGCATTGGCATCTTCTTTGGTGGACAGCAGTTTGAGGGCCATAGTGGCGGAGGAGGCGAGTATTTGCATGTCTTCTCCCGCATCCCTCGTCTCCATCTCCATTTTCTTCAATTTATGTTTTCGCTGCTGAAGCTCGTCTTCCAGACCCTGCAGTTTCTTCAGCTCGCTGCGCAAAGCATCACTTTCCTTTAACAATTGCTGGTTGCGCTCATGTATATCGCTCTCCAGCTCGCTCATCGAGATGGTGCTCTTTTCTGCGCTGGCCCACGACTCCCCATTGTCGTCATCCACGTCATTCGACTCTCTCATCTCATCGCTGCGCTGCATCAGTGCGCGCAAATCCATGTGGAAGCTGGTTGGATCCGTGAAGGGATAGCCAATGTTGCTTTTCCTGTTCAGCTGTGTGTGCAGCTGCAGCAGCATCCAATTGCGCTCGAACCTAACCTCGGGCGCGGCGTTATGGAAGATGTTGAGCCAGTGAGTGCATGTTGGAACTAAGTGGTCTCTGGCTGGCAATTTAACGATCATCTTGGCAACGGTGATCACTTCCTTCACATACATCTTGTCCAGCGTTTCCGCGGAAATTATCATGTCGTCTGATTTGTGTGTTTAGATGTGTATTTCTTTATATATCGAGTGTATTTGACTTTTCACCAAAAGGCAAGCTGCTTTCTTAATTTCTAGACCCCAAACATCCCGCTCCATGTCTGCTGGAGCAGCTGATAAATCAAAAAGGATGCCACGGAAACCACTTATGTCTCAAGCCGCAAGCAGCGGCGTCCCTGGAACAGGAACCGATGAGCCTCAGGACAACATAACAATCATTCAAGTATCGAACCCAAGTAACGGCCTGGAACGGCCGCCCGAATTGCCGCCCAAGAACAACAGTATAATAGCCGAAATCTTCCGCTTTCCCGAAGTCGGTGTCAAGAC